AACAGATAACAGTCCTGTGAAGCTTTATTTCTTACCACAGCATGAAAGAGTTATACGATGACTGTTTAGTGGCCCGTGAATATGACTCCAATTAGATCGTACGAATGTTTGATATCGCCTATCCTCGTATATAATCATCGATTTAAATCGCGTTAGTCAACAACGGAATTATATAAGTCGAATAAGGAGAATGGACTTGTGAATACACATATTTTGTATATATAGCGAATGGAATAGAGAGAAGAGAATGGACGCGCAGTGGGTGGTAAGCCAACTCCCATTTAACCAAGCGTTAATCAATATTTATAGTTACACAAAAGTAAGTTACAGACATGTGATGAGTAATGGGATAAGAAATGTACACACACTTACGCGCTCATATAAAAACAGTCAAGATTGATAAGTGAATAAATAACAAGGTCAGAATGTGACTCAAGTAGAATGAATAGAATGGGCTGTCCGAAACCTAGAATAAGGTATATGGGCATAACATAATAACGGACGCTTCAACTGAAACCCGAAAAAATGTCACCTATTATTCAACTTGCGACGGTCTCTGTGGAAGTAAATTCTCAAAAGCATGTCTATTAGCTTGTGAAAATTTAAGAAAATTTACTCAGCGTAAATTAATAGTCCTTCAGGAAAAAATTTTACCATCAAAAAGTGCACAATATATGAGAAAATCTGTTGAAATAACAAAATTGTGGACTTATCAAATATGAATTCGTGAAATATGATTGTTTCACACACAATTTCACTGAATTCGCTTTTACTAAGAATGTATCCAAGTTTACTTGAATAAGTATGTTAAAGTTTGGAAGAACCCAGCATTAGCTCTTTTGCTAAGTTAGAAGGATCACATCTCCCATTGAAACTGAACAAATAAAAAAGTTTTTCAAATACAAGAAAGACTACTAGAGTATATAAGTAGTTAAATATCTTTCATGAAAAAAAACAAGCTATTTAATTTTTAATATCGTTAACGAATTGGTCTTTGTATAATCCTAATTAATATGTTGACACTCAACAAATTAAATTGTAATTTACTCTGTTGAGTTAATAAAAAAATTATTACATAAAAACTATATAACTGTGGGAAGTAACTGTAACGATGGAGAATATCCTTGACGGACAGTAGGTGAAATATCAAACAGCAATAATTAATTGTATTGTTCATAGTTCCACAATATTACGAACTGACTGAAGTTGAAATGCGTTCTTCGTTACGTAGGTCAAGAATATTGAGACTGATACGTGTCCAAAAATTCAAAATTCTAAACTAAATCAAGACATGATTCATTACTAAAATGCGGTAGAAACCAGAAAAATAATATTTGTCTAGTGACATTGTTATTTAACAGTTTTCCAATAGATTTTGATTGGTAGTAAACAGTAACTCCAAAATAATTCCCATTTCGGCAAATCATCCTTCTGAGTAAAATTTAGTACTTAGTGGGTAATATTTAACATGACTCCATATCATTCAGATACGTTAATGTGAAGCAGACACTGATGATTTTATTTAGAATGATAACGACAGCTCCATAATCAAAACATTCAGTATGAAAAAACCATCATCAACAAGAGATCAGTATTATATATAACTACTGAAGGTTAAACGACGTTTTCATACTTCGACTGATCACCTTTAAACTCCGAATCGTCAAATTTTGAAGAAGATGGAAGACATTTATCTAGTTCAATTTAATTTATCCGTTTTAAGATTTAACATTTCTTTGGTTTATAGGGTATTTCAAGTTAGATAACAATTGCACTCATAGGACAGCTGAAGTAATAAAATAAATTTTCACATGAAATTATCGAATCTAACAAACGAAATAGATCCGAGCATTCAAAATGAATTTTCATGATCAAACAAATATCTATTTCACTTTAGTTCCATAGATCATTTAACAAGATCATATCTTATCATAATTTTCATTACTTCATTTTCCTAAAAAATAGCGGTACTTATCAATGTAAAAAAACTGATGAAAACGCAACGAAACAGCTAGATGATATTAAATATTATATACTAACGATTAAACAACCATAATTAAAGTACGCATTTTAAACATCATACTCTATGTGTTATTTTTAAAATTATTTTTATTTAAGGATTGTGATTGAAATCATGAACCGATTGATGTTAGACCACCATTGGAAACCTGTAAGCACTGGACAACCGTTTCATCTTACTGTGGGACTCCTCAGCAGTGCGCATCAACGATCTCACTCGTGGGATTCCGACCCAGGGCCTTCAGTCTCACGCACGAATGCTGAACCTCCAGACCACTGGGCCGGCATCCAACGGTGTTCATGTCTGACCTAATTAAAGATTATCTGGTACTTAAAGGAAAGTGGTTACAGCACTGAAGAATCATTCATATAATAAATGGTCCAATTATATGTATCATAATCACCTTAAAGAAACAGAGCAAATAATTCATATTTAAAATTCAAAGTAAGTTCCTGTAATAAATCTAGTTCGTTAAGCCAACTTTGATGAATATTTTAGTGTTAATAGCATAGCTGGTTTATGGGGTTTTATCAGATTTTAGTTTCAACTAATGTGTTTAATATAAATTTCACTATTCATTGACATGTTTTCTATGTTTATTATCTTCCTTTTTCATGTATGCCTAATCTATGAACACTCACTTATATTGGTATACCTTGTTTCTATTTGAGAGGAAATTTTCCTGCGTTGAAAAACTGTAATATTTTCTTAGAAATTGTTTTCTTCTTTACTATTTACTATGAAATAATAGCCAAAATAATTGTTATAATTAATTAAATCTTTGAAATAATTTCCATTGTCACTTCCATTTCGTTGTACTTTGTCATATTCTTCATTATTTTCATCATGTTTATAAAAAAAACATTCAACTTACTAATTCTGATAAAACGCTTTTTTCTAATTCCCATTATTTTACTTCAACATTGTCAATCATTTGATCATCATTTTTAATAGTGACTATTAAAGCCTTACTTATGGTAAATCGTAAATAGACTAAATAATACGTAGTATAACAATAATAATTTGGTTTCACAATCTCGGATAGGATTTAATTCCTGATTTTAATCCTTGAAAAAAGTATGGTAACTTTAAACTACAGAGTTTAAATCTTATGTGCTAAATATTCAACTTAATAATAGTTCGCTATGTTCGAGAAAAAAACATTGGACACATATTCACGATTTACTCAAACATACATGAAAAATAGCATCTATTGTTAGGAATGACTAATATCTCTTTCATAATAACAGCGTCAGTCAGAATGAAAAAAATGTTACCATTTTGCTGAATGTTCGCTAATGTGCAAGTTCAACAGTTCTTAAACCTGACTTTGACTATACATGCACAAATTATACTGATAGTACTATAAAAGATTATATTTCTTGCTATGTAGAAATAACAGGAAGGATAAAGAACTCAAGCACTTTCTCATTTCACGTATTACTCATTAACAACTTTTCAGTAAATCTATGACTATGTATTAATTAGATTCTTCGTTTGTCCTAAAAGGATTGATTAGTTGAATCAATTATTCAGACTAAACTATTTAAAATGAACTATGGCCTTTAAAATCTCATGAAATCATCAATCATTTATAAATTAGGTTTAAAGATTATCTAACTATTTTAAGTATTAAAATAAACTATCAAACAACTGACTGTAAAATTTCTTGAAATGCCTAGAAGTACTTGATTATTTTCAGATCTAATATTTTCAATATCTTTAGTATAAGAATATACTTTAGTTTCAATAAGCAATAAAACATGGTATATTTAAATCTATCCAATAACTATTCGTAGACTTCAAAACCATCAACTCAAATCATTCTTTGTTCAGTTTTTCAACATTATCGAAACAAAACATTAAAATGCCAGTTATCTAACAAAAATACTCGTTTTCTATGAACGTTTACTCTTCAAGTAATCATTCAACTTTATCAGTTATATTAATGTCTATATGTTCATTCATTTTTATAATGTAAGCATAAACCATTCTAATTTGCTTTTGCATATTTCATATTTCTCACAAGAACAACAACAACAAAATTATCAAATTAAAATATCTACAAACGATGTACAAACAAAAATTAATAAACTTTATCAGTAGTTAAAACTGATATCATTGTCAGAAGGGGTTTTGTGAAGATTTTAGTAATTTCAATAGTTTAACTCAGCAGTGCGCATCTACTATCTGCCTCGTGTGAGATTCGAACCCAAGACCTATCACTCTCAATCTGTACTAGAACGAAGTGGTTGTTCAGTGCTTTCAGGTTTTTCATAGCAGTCTAGCTTCAACTGACTCATAATTTCAACTATTGATATCATTATATTAAAAAGAGAACGGTTACATTTCATTAAACCTATGCTTATTTCCTATCAATTTGTCTATAGCAAAGCTTATGATACTAATGAACATTTATTTATTTATTTATTTTGTAACTAATTATAAAATATACTTAGTGTGAAGAAAATAAAACGCATAGATACTGACCATATTGATTTTAATTATTATCCAACATTGTCTGAAAACAAAAGTCGAATAGTTGGAAAAAAAGTAAGTTTAAAAATAGTGTTAATAATTATATAACTTAAATAAATGAACAAGATATTTACTTAAATACTTTCAATAATGTTCATAACAAGTAAAAGGTAATCGGAAGTTTCGGCGAGAGAGAGAGAGCAAGAGGGAGAGGGAGAGAGAGAAAAAACACTAACAACAACATAAACATGCATGAGTTTAACAATAAAGTGAAAAAACAAGTTGACTGAAGAAAAAAACAAACAAACATAATTATTGTTTATTGATGATGTAATGAACTCAACATGTAAGAGAAGAAAAAATCTGTAGTGTGAGAAGGCATAAACAGTGATTTATTGTGTTAGGGTTAATATTGTCAGTAGATGTATATATTCGTATAGTCATACTCTGAAGTATTGATTTTGATCATTTTTACAATTGTTCATTTGAATTAGATACTTTTATTTCCCTGATGTGAAAGTCTTGATTTGTTCTAAGAGAAAAAAAATGATAAATAATAATAATGTAATTAATAAATATTGGATTTATTATTAATAAGTCGATATAGGCATTGTTCTTTAGCTATTTCTGGTTTTAAACCCATTAATGTCCAATCACATGGATTATAAGATGAATGATTACCACCACATGTAATTTGTTCATAATTTAATTCTTTCATAAATTCTTTCTAAAATTAAAAAAAAAAAGAATTCAATAAGTAACATGTTAAAGTTAATATAGTTTTAAGTAGAAAGATTTTACTTTATAATAAATTCCCATTGATTGATGTTATTCTATTAGACATATTTGAGTACTAGTTTGTTGTTAGTAGTAATATTCTATATTGTTTTTAAATGATGCAATTGAAGATATTGCTCTTTTTAATTACGAATACAATATAATTCATTTCTAGCAGAAATAAATTTATCAATTATGACATTATATTCTACCACTTTGAATGATCAATTATATGTAATGAACTAGATACACATCTAAATTCTATTGAATATACTCCGTAATGACATTTTAAAGAAGAATATTATGATATGTTTACGAAAAATAGAATTTAATGAAGAAAATTTTGGTGAAACTATAATTTATAGACGAACTAATCAGGTATAAGATAACAGATCTCAAATTTTAGCGCAAAATTCACCCATTTATCTAGCTAAATAGAGTTTCGACATTATAGCTGATATCAGTTCGTGATGAAAACCTGGAATCTAATTCTTAACCTTAACCATTAAATGTAAGTCATCATTCTAATTCCTCACATTGGTTTATAACCTTCATTTGGTTCTAGTTATTAGGTGGGCACTCTCAAATTCAGTTTAGCATTACTCAAGGATCGTACATGAATTATAGTTTCATCAAAATTTTCTTTTCAAAAAAATCATTTACTTAAGCTATATAGGCATATGTATACTTATATGGAAAATATATGCCTATTGAAGGATAGAAATGATTTCGTCGGGAAGATAATTTTCTTTGTTGAATTCTTCCTTTCTTATTCAATGATGTAATGGGTTGTTTTAGATATGGTTACATTAGTTACCTTCATTCATTTGAATTCATGTAATATTAGAAGTACTTTTTTTCCATATAAAATCAACCAAATAAAAATATCAAAGTTTATGTACTTTATCTTATACTCTCAACATATTTTTTGGTTTGTTTGTTTGTTATTTTATTCATTTTATAAAATAGTTTTATTTTAAAATATTTAAATTATATTTGACTTACCATTTTTGAATTCGTTTCCCAAACAAAATGATATGACCCATAAGTTGTTGCTCTTAAAAATTGTTCTACTGTATATTTAATTAATGCTCGATTAATTTCATCTTTTGATGCAACTCTAAGTGTTGATACATATGCTGAACTAGATGGTATTCGTCGATTATTTGGTTTAGCCCATTCATAACATTTTGTAACAAAGTCAAGAACTGATGTTATCATACCAGGTGCATACATATCACCTAGTTTAGAGGTTGATAAAACTAAATTAGCACCATTCAATTTACTTTCTGAATTATCAGATTGTAGAGTTATCTAAGAAAAAAAAAGTAAAAAAAAATATGGTAGTAACCATGAGGTGAGCATATATTATGTTCAACAACATACAAGCGGTTAAAATGAGTAAAGAACATAAGAGATATTTTTTTATGCATCTCAGTAAAACTCTCGAGCACATATATATTTTAAAGACGGATGAAGAAAATAAAAATACTTACAGAGGATAACAATTGATCAGCAGATTTCCAAGCAAGATATATATGTGTATAGTACATTGAGTAAGGAATTTGTAAGTCATGTACTTTTGCTTCACTTTCTTCCGTGTGATTAGTGAAATAACTAACAATTCGATATAGTGGTGCACTGGTTATTGTTTTTATCACATAACCTTTGTCAGATGAAATACTTTGATAGATTTTTGTGCCTTCTGGTTTTGAAACGTTAGGATATAATAATCCAGCTGTATTAAATTTAGAAGAACTCATAATGGTAGGTGATAATAATGCACAAATGAAAATGTATGTAATCATTATCCTACAAATAAAATAAAATAAGAGGATAAAATAGAAAATATGTATATTTACCTTTATAAGTTGTAACTAAGAGTTTATCACGTTTATTATCTACTTATCGTGTGGATATTTATATTGTTCTTAAACCTATGAGAGACTTATGATTTGGAAGTCATACTTTTGATTTCTTTTCTTTTTAACCAATCCCGTTAATAAGCTATAAGAATAATAATTTCCCCTAGATATTTTTCACCTTTATTCACAATAAGTAAATTTTATTTTTAACGAGATAGTATTGGTTAATGGTATACATCCCTTTAATAATAATGCTAATATTATTTAGTCAGTATACTATTTGAAAAAATATATATGAGCAGGGACAGTAAATTAAAGCAGGTAAATATAGCTAGAGATATTTAAAGGATAGTTTATTTCAAATTCTTAGAATGAATCTTATTATTTAACCAATAATAAAAATAGAATGTATAAGTTAATAATTTTAACCTTAAATTGTAAAATAAATTTATTTAGTTTATATTTATAACTAAGTAAACATACTTTCTGATAAAATCATTAAAATACTTTTTTATGTCTGTGTAATCTTAATTAATCATTTACTCAGTTCTGATAATAATCACCAGCACACTAGTGACTGACATCAAAAGACACTCATGGAGTTCTAGTGGGGAGCCGTGACCAGTGGAATTCAACCAGGTCTGTTGTGAGATATCAGCTCACTGAAGATAATGGTGACGGTGGTGAAGCTTCGTGAACTGGTTGAAGTTAGACATTAACACCGTTGAATGCCGGCTGGCTCAATGGTCTAATGGTTAAGCGCTCGCGCGCGAGACTGATAGGTCCTGGGTTCGCATCTCGCAGGGAGCGGGATCGTGGATGCGCACTACTGAAAAGTTTCACACTAGAACGAAAGGGCTGTCCAGTGCTTCCAGGTTTTCCATGATGGTCTAGTTTCAATTGACTCATGCTTTCAATTATTGAAATTCATTAATTGTTGAATATGTATGAATAATTAACTTGCTCATTCATCTAGACACCCTATCAATTCAGTAGGAACTGTTTTCTGAAAACCTTAAATATTCACTTTATTTCAATCATGACATGATAAACTTGATTTCCTTATGAGTAAGAATGAATATGCCTCAATGACTGTAAAGGAATTAGAAGAAAGTTAGCATTAGATGTAATGTTTATAACAATATAATTTACATATGAAGATGGTATACGTTTATTATGTTTATAAAATTTCCACAATACACATTTATTACAGTTACTTTACAAGATCAAGATACTTCCATTACTTCAATAATAATATGTATAGTACATAATAAAGATTATCAAAAAATATATATACAAATCTATTTCATTTTATGAAAAATCACTGCGTTTTACATTTTCTACTTAGAACACTTCATAAGAGTTTTAAGTAAGACAAAAACGTCAATCATTTGTTAATTATAAAATATTTTTTTAAACAGAAACAGAACATAATTATTAAGTCAGTTAAAAACCAAAATTGCAGTTTCACAAATATTATTGTTTGATGTTCATTAGTATTTCTCTAACATATTTTATCTATATTAGTTGGAGATAGTCACGTAAAAATCCAAACTGGACAAAGATTTCATGATATCTAGCATTCATCATCAAAGCACTTCTGCAATCTTAACAGAACCGACGTCTCCCTAATGAATTTGATCTCTTGACACCAAGCTCCATAGTCATAGGATTCACTACTGAGTTATTCAGGACGTGACTGATTTCCTGTAATACTTAGAATTTCACAAATAATTAATTACTCAGTTTTTTTTTCTAGAGCTGATCGAGTTCTACCGATCACCACAAACTGCATATTAAACTAATATTAAATGAAATCCTTAAATATCTTAACTAAATAGTCAAATATATGTAAAATAATTTTTGTAAATGTTTATCGCATCTTTTCTATTTCTGAAATTTTACATATTTTGTCATCCTACTCTAAGTTTAAAGAGTATGCATTTAGTTGTTAAGTTGAAAATAATAATAGTAACCAGAAAATTTTCTTACTGATCATGAGAATCAGTAAAAATAAACTATTCATGTAAACGTTTATTTTTTAAGATTTGAATTCGATATATAGTTTCTAGGAAGATTTTTGTAAATCTCATTAGTTAAGATATTCACATTACTATTATTATTATTATAAAATCTAATGCTAAATCGTACGTTTATAAAACACCAAAACAAAATAATAATTAAGTACATTAAAGCAATCAGTCCCTTTGACAAATTTCGATAAAGTAATAAGACGAAGATTATCAGAACTATGTGATATATTAGCGCAATACATTTCAAACAATCTGATCATACATATACGTGTTAAGAGCATTTATATATACAAATAAAAGGTCAACTATACTGGAAATGGGGTAAGAGGAGACAAGGATAATTATAAGAGTATATGTGTGATCAGATAGTTCAAAACTTATTGCGCTAATATATGACATAGTTCTGATTATCTTCGTCATCTAAATACATTAAATTTATAGTTAAATGTTAATTTTATATAATGGAAAACTGAAATGAAATATCATTCAAATTCATTTAAAACTAACTCATTATTGGTAGAATTTTGTAGTTTAGCTAATATACTACTGAATTCATGTTAGTTTTTTTAGCTATTTCAATTCAATCTAATTCAGTTACAATTCTTCTAAAGTATCTTAAGTATCTGAACACGAAGGTTATATCCATGGAAATTAATCCTAAGTACTTTGTCGTTAATAATTTTCTTTCATTTTCTTTTTAATTTTTTGAACTTTCTGAGTGATTTATAATTTAAAAACCAGTAATCTTTTTTTAAAAAAACTAAGTTTCAGTAAAACATTAATTAAAACAAACCTTCATTACTTTTGAAATTAACTTATTTTTCTGGTTATCGTTTTTTTAGCGAGTTAGTTTTCTATGGGTTTGGTTTGTTAACCCTATGCCCAACCCTCTTCCTTTATCCAGATTTGGAACCGCTAATAGCCCCAGTGGGGCTCCAGGTGGAGTTTTTGAAATTAAGGAAAACATTGTTATACCATTTAATCATTCGATAATGAGTGAAACTTATTCTAAAGAATATACACAAATATAATAAATAAGTTTCATTAAACAAACTTGCAGTCTCTTTTCTGAAAAAACGTGCATACAAAGAAGATGAGAAAGAAAAAAAAATGAACTTCAGACAAACTGGCTTTATTTTTTTCTGTTGTTAATTATTCACCGAATTTCAATACTTTGTTATTCTGGTACATTTCACCAACATACAATTCCTTCTTATTTACAGTCGGATAACACCAAAAGTTTGTTCGAAAAATGAAAAAAAAAGAAGTGATGAACATTTACATGCAACATTTGAAGTAACAAAAAAAAGAAAAAGGAAAACAAAAGTTAGTTGCATGCAGTTGAACTAAACTGGTTCAGTAAGAGTGATTTTTTTGTTGTTGTTATATCTATCTACTTATTATTAATAGTACTATTACTGTTATAATAATTATTAATGACACTACTGTCCATTAACTGTGATGTTTATAAAATATATAAATGGTTAAATATATATAAATATATTTCCAGTCTACCACAAACTTGATATTATAATAACTTTCAAAATAATAAATTAAAGAGAGTTTAACTATTGTAACTATTATGTAATCAGTCAGTATTGGTTAAACTAGACTCTTTTCGTAACCGTTTTTAATAGTTTTATTAAATGTGAAAAACAACGGTGAAAAAATACAAAAAAAAGAAGGATGTTTCCTTTCTTTATCACCGAAACTAAATTTACTGATTACTAAAATAAATCAAAATGATGATACATTAAATAATATATTTTCATTAGAAATTTTACTATAGTCGACGTCAATGGCATCAAATGCTTATACTATATCAGGCGTATAATTGTGAACTAAATCATGGTATAGTAAAATTTATAATTGTTAAATGTCTAAAAGAGTGCTATTCATAGACTATAACATTATTATGTGATCTAAATGTCAACACTAAATTTTGTAACATTTTAAGGATAAAACTAGCGAATGTGTTAATACTTCAATATTCATAAAAGATAAAAAAAAGTATAGTTGAATTTTAAGGACTACCCTGACGTGCAATGTTTTATGGTATAGGAGTAGGTTGGAAGAAAGCTAGGAGTGGCCAGAATAAAACACGGCACTAATCCATGAAGTCACAACAGACCCGGTTGAACTCCCTTCTGATATGAATCAACGAATACTCACTAGTGATTGGCTTCAAGAGATATTTCCTGGAGTTCTACTGAGAAGCAGTGACCAGTGGAGTTCAGCCGGCTCAGTTGTGAGATATTAACTCACTGATGACAGTGGTAGATGTGTCTCTAAATTTCGTGGATTGGTTGAAGTTAGACATTAACACCGTTGGGTGGCGGCCGGCTCAATGGTATAGTGGTTAGGCGCCCATGTGTGAGACTGATAGGTTCTGAGTTCAAATCTTGCAAGTCAGGATCGTGGATGCCCACTACTGAGGAGTCCCACGGTGGGATGAAACAGCCGTTCAGTGCTTTCAGGTCTTCCTTGATGGTCTAGCTTTAATTGGCTTATGGTCTCAACCATTGAAATTACTATACTATCCACAAAGACCCTTCTGATATAAAAAAAATAATAGTTAAATTTTAATGAATAGTATAGTACTATTTTGGGGGAATTTTGAAAATATTGCCAACAGCATCATTCTGTATGATCAAATAATGGAAATTATATTTTCCTAACATTTATCTTAGTTATCTACTGCAGTTATTCATATCAAAAATATAAAAGATAGTCAACTAATTCCAAGAAACTACAATTGACGTAAGCAAAGGTGGATAGTGGCTAGCAGTGGGATCCAGGACGCGCGTTTCGTCCTATTTGGGACTCGTCAGCTGGATGTACCTGCATCTCAGAGTTGATGTTCACTCTGAGACTCGAACCCAGCACCATTCACTTCAAATGCGCGTTCTGGATTCCACTACTAGCCACTATCCATCTTTGTTTATAAAAGTTTGTGAATAAAGGCAATATCAAGACATACGCACAGTATACACATATGCCAATAACAGGCTGATCAGTTGCAGTCTTCAAACTCAATGGGAAAATACAAGCAAAACAATACCAAGTGAAATTACAATGGAAGTACTTTTAAATACATATTTCAAATTGTTCATTATACTACTTTAATTCCATAGATTATAAGTAGATTCAATCCTTAGTCTTCATTATGCGAAAACATCTTTTGTAATTTTATAATTATCATGTTATTTTTAAATGGTTTCTTAAATATTTATCTTAAAAGTTAAATTTAGTACATTATCCAGGCTATAGTAACTTGTTAAGTATTAATTGTCGAAAGTCACTAAATTTGGTATCTTTAATAACAAACATAATGTTATTGTAATATACATAAAATGTATACACTTGAATAATTTTAAAACTCAAACTCTAATTATCGTGTTAAAAACACACCATCATTAAGTAACTAACAAATGTAATTGTTAGTTGATAGTCTAGAAGACCAGTTTAAACTGTTTATATATTCTTCAACAGATTGTGCCACTTACCATCCCTAATGAATATACTCGATTTCGGTCAATACAATTTTATCAACAAAAAAAAAACAAGTTTGAACAGACAAATTACCTTCCATATTTCATGAATGATAAATTATGAATGTTTTGTATACGTAAAACA